GCTGAACATGGTCTGTCATGTGACTTTACCCTGTTTACACTAATCATGTGACTACTTGCCGGGAAACAGCCCGAGCCGACACATTTGTATTTGCCCTGATGAAGGCCTTAATGGCTCAAACTTATTAGGCATCTTTAACTGTTGCTAATACAACACACTAAGTATACTCACACAAATGTGAATACGGCCACAATGGCTGTGGTGACAAGGAGCTGAGACGCCAAAATCAGATAGACCTGAAAAACACATGCAGACAAAAGGAACATTACACCCCGTAGTTTTAGGAAATTTAGTCCATCCTTTGCCAGCACTGGCCCCAGTTAGTGTCTCATCTTCCTTCTCACACACACAAAATAATGACACTTTTCAGATTGCAGGTGATTTAACTTTCAGAAAAACATTAGTTTTGTTCTGTGGTTCAAATGTAATGATAAAGGACAGACATCTAGTATGGTTTGTGGGTTTTACCTTTCTGATGAAGGCATGACGAATACTCATGCTGTCCCAACCGCTGCCGCTCGCCGCAAACTCGTCACCTGTGTTGTCAGGACAGAAATATGAGCAGTCATCCTTCACCAAAGAGTAAGAATAGTGTAAATTCAACGTTCAAAGCAACCTTTTTTAAAATATGCTATATTAGCTTCCTTGCAGAATGTTAGAAGAGAAGATTAATACCGCATACTGAATATCCCATTCAATTACAGGCAAGAGATGATTAGCAGAGCTTAGCATAAAGACCTGAAACAGCTAGCTTAGCTCTGTGCAAATGTACAAAATCTGCATAGCGGCCCCTTTAAAGCTCACTGTCTGTTTCCCCCCCTTCTTTTTTATGCTAAGCTAAGCTTACTGTCTCCTGCCTGTAGCTTCATATTTACTGTACAGATGCGAGCGGTATTAATCTTCTCATCTAACTGTAGGCAAGAAAGTGAATGAGCAAAGTTTACTAAAATGTTTCGCTCTTTATTTAAACAAATTGAGCATTAAGGCCCGGTCCACACATGATGCATGAGCAGCGTGTGTGCGTGGTAAACATTTGGATTTGGATTTTGGTGCCCATGTTAACAGGTTAGAGCCACAGGGGCAGTGTGAGCCATGTAGGACACACTCAGCCACAGCGATGCTTCACTAGAGAGTCAAGGTCTCACCTATTTTGTCCGCACACATTAATTAATTAAAGGGTTTGTTCATAGTCATATCGACATTATAGCAGCAAGGTATACCCCTTTTGACTTCAGTTTCAATGTCTATCTGTACAATATGTACAGACATGAAAAAATATAAATATATATTTTTATTCAACACCTTTCATATCTGTTTCACATTAAAAGCTCTCTGACGTTTCTGTGGACAGAATCCATTCATTTATTAACAAGGCTTTTACTGTATTGTATTTATCAATGGCAAACTCAAAGACAGGACTGGCAACAGCAGCGCAGCAGCTCTCAGGGGTGCGAGCTGGGGCAGTTGAGCGAGGCAGCTGTCACGCACTGCTCATGCATGCTGTGAGGATAAGGGGTAATACTGAGGGACCAGGGCCTTTGTTCTTGTTAATGCTGGTTGTATGTAGCTTGTGTGTTTTTTTCAACTGGTTCAACAAGCCAGTGTCATTTTTTTAAAACGTCAGTACAAGGTACCAAAAATCACCCTCCCAAATTTTGTCACAAGTGGCACAGTACTGTGTTCACTTTACATTAGTTTTAAAAAAGGAAAACTCCATTAGAAGTCACACACACACACACACACAATAATATGCTCAGCAGTCCCCGTCTTACCAGAGCTCAGGATATCTGATGGAATGGTAGGTGGCATGATAGGGGGCATGGGAGGAGGATTGGGGTAGCCAGCTCCTGGAGGCCCAGCGGGGTGAGGCTGTCCTGGGTACGGGCCAGGAGGATAGCCCCCCGGCTGGCCTGGGTACAGAGGGGCATTCGAACCAGTGGGGTAGGGAGCAGAGGGCTGGGGACCACCAAAGGCAGGGAAGCCATACGCAGGGGGTGGTGGGTAATTCCCTCCCTGAGGTGGATATAGCGGGCCCCGGGAGTCGTCGTACCCTGGTGGGTAGTCTGACCTGGACATTTTCTCTGTGAGGAGGGAAGTGGGAGAAAATACAGTTCACTTGTGTTTAACATTTCTATGTACAAAAGCAGACAACAGACAGGGTGAACAGTAGGGAACAAACAACAAGGACAAATACATCTCCATGGCCAATACCCACTGATTGGAGCTTTACACAGATCCAGCCATCAGTGCACATACATGCCTTTAATGCTGCTCATTATGAATAGATTAAATGACTGTGAATGTGAAAGGAGCAGTAGAGAATTATCCCCAACTGTACTGTTGGTGACAAAACAATTCCTATATTCAGGTGATTATACTAATGAAAACATATTATTCAAAAAAACATATCACAAACATGTACACACAAGAATGTGGCTGCAGTCAGCACTGGCTGCTGTTGGTGTCTGTGAATTATGTGCACATATTTATCCAACACTTACATTTGGCTGGGTAATAATCTTACAAGATACATTTAGGGTTGTATGAGGTTAAAGTGAGCATATGGTTCTGCTTAGCATTGTGGTTCCCAAAAAACCACCACGGGCTCAGGAACCACCACATGCATCTCTGAGGGAAATATCTAATAATAAACCACACACACATGAACAAAGTGTTGTCACATATGGCCGAAGTATTCCATGTTCCTGCGATGAGTATTAAAAAAGTTGTGGTACTTTTACAAGATGCTTTACCAACTAATTTAACCCTCTTTTACAACGTCAATCATTTATATTTTAAACACATTCCGCAGATGATTTCACTCCTTACAATATTACAATAGAAACTAAGCCACCTTATTAAAAAGACTGACCTGTGAGTAGGTTCCTGTTTGCTCAGTTATTTAGAAAATAGAAAATGTTCTCTGAGCTTTATCCACACTAGAGCTTTTAGGGGAATACACACAGTAAAGGAATTTAAGAGCTGGCTCCACCTAGTGCTGCCATTACATCACATCCCAGGCACCAAGCAACAGGACCGAAAACACTGAATGGAAAAAGTGCTTCAGTCAAACAGTCACAAAATGAGCCACAGAGCTGATCACCGCTTTGGGCATTTACACACAGCAGACGAGAGGGCTGACAGACTGTGTGTGTTTGAATAGGAGGGTGTAACTTCTCTGTCGGAAAGTTAACAATTAGAATCTGTCAAAGTGGGTTTCAGATAAGTTGTAGTGGATGTACAAGGCGGTGGCTTGAGTCGATTTCCCACATCATCATCATCGTCACCAACACTATGTTCTAGTCAGTGTTGTAAAGTTTACTCAAATATCTCTTTACACATCACTGGCAGCAAGGCCCTGTACCCAGGAAATACCACATATACCATGTGAAGTGTGGCGTCACAGAACAATAGAAACACAAGACAAAAATAGTACGAACCGGTTTGGCTGTCAAATTAAAACCAGTGATAAAACATATTTCTGACTTTATTTATTCAGGGTAGGTTCACTGAACAACAACAACAACACATTCACACTCTTTATGACTTCAATAACTTTGTTTGGTTTTCTGTTACTTTGTCATCCATAGTTAGGTTAACAGGTGACGATGATTAGGGACTGTAGAGAAATTATTAGGGGGTTAGAGTCTCAGAAAAGGAAGAGGGTATTGTAATTTGTCTTTTAGCTGTAACTAGTGTAGTGTGACCTTTTTGGAATAGCAGAAGAGACTATTTTATTATTTTCTTGCCCTAAATTTACATTTTATTTTACCCTTCTTCTGCAATATAGTTATTAGTTTAGAGCTGCAAAGATTACTTGTGTAATAAAACTCAACTGACAGAATAGGCAACAACAATTTTGATTCAGCAATTTAATGGTAAAATGACCTCTTCATGACCTTACATGATAGAAAATTGGATAACTTTATTTTTGTTCGACTGTCAAACTAACTGAAGTAATGAGTTAGTTAGTAATGGCTGCATTCCCTTTATGTGTCCCAGGTACAGGGCCCTGACTCACTGTGATGGCTTACTGAGACACTTAAATGGATGAAGCCATCATTAGTGTTACTGGTTACACCTGTGCTTCTCCCTGTATCACGGTTCAAATGTCTGCCCTACATGAGTCTATTCTCTGGTTCTCAGCCGACAGCAGTTAAAGTAATTATTCATAAACAATTAATTATATAATATATAAATAATTACATATTAAACAAACAAATCGAAACAACGAGTAATAACCCAAAATATAAACGTAAACACTCATACAGGCTGGACGAGAGGTTGTGCAACAGGATATGTGCATCTTTACGGTTTCGCCCAAAGTTTTAAAGACAGCCGTCTGAAGCGTGAATATTCAGTTCAACCGCAGCTAAATTAAACTTTAATATTTTATGTTTACTCGACTTTAAACCGGGATGTCAGAGCAGTTTCAAACGGGGGGCTAACATGAACAGAGCTCACAGTCTGCGCCCACCCTGTCCGCGGAGGACCAGACCCCAGCTCACAAAAAGCCTTTTCAGGTGTTTGACCTTAGCCTGCAACACAAACAGCTACCCGGCTATGAATAGCGCCCAGCCACCAGAAAACACAAGCCTACACTTGATGGCGGGTTACCAACACACCATAGCAACACATGAAATTCAGTCCACAAAGTATGTATATCTAAGCTAATAAATCGCTTTGAAAAGATGACAACATCTTAAAATGAGCTCTACTTACCAAGTAAGAGACGGCAACGTAAGACACAGTCTGGGCGTGTTAATTTTCCAGCGATAAAACGACAGAAGTGGAGGCTTCCCGCTGTCAGCCACGCCCTCCCTGCTTATAAAAGACCTCCACAGCACTGAGAGCTTTGATAAACGGGTTATGGGCAGATGACCAGCAGCCTGTCTGTCTGTCTGCTCTCAGCTCTGTCCTCTAGTATGTGGAGCAGCAGTGGACAGATGTGAGGCAGCAGTGAAGAACATTTCCTGGAATAGTGAAGAGCAGGGTGGAGTCCAGAGGAATCTGAGACACACACACACACACATATCCAGGGTGTGTATATGTTTGTGTGTGTGTGTGTGTGTGTGTGTGTGGCCTGACGGGTTTAGCTGACTCATTTTCAACAGGCACTTCTCGTGTTACTAACTAAAGGGTGCATTGCAACTACAAAGTAACTACTGTACTTTTAAAGCATTTTAAAGTACATGAGATGTTCCAGTTAGTGCTATCATACATGTCCACTCAATCTTGGAGTTAAAATGAATTTGTTTATTCTCATGCATTCATCTGACAGCACAAATGTCTATTTTGCGATAAAGATTTAACATTCAAAACTATATAAGTCCAACTCTATGATAAAGTGGTTAGTTATCTGGACATGATCAATATTAGTAGTATAATAGTTTACTGTAAATGTCAACATAACATACAACTCATCAATCATTTAACAGTCTGAAAGGCCGGTCTACTTAGAACATTTTACTCTTGTATCCATGTTTTTAAAACGATTAGAGGATGTAGATAATGGATGAATGCGAATAAAGGACAGTAGTTTTACATTTCAGTATTGTTGCTACTTTTACTTGGATAAAGGAAAGAAAAAAAAAAAAGAAAAAAAACTGTTTTATCCGCAAAAACCCTGACACTGATCATTATTATATGCCCTACACACTGATTTCATTGTGTTATATCAGTTTAAAAAGGTGGATGGAAGGTTTGTCACATAAGTGGTGACATTCATCACTCGCGTACATGCAACTGCTTCTCTGTGATCTGTAATGTGACAAAAAGAAAAGTTCCAAATGATGTCTTATTGTTTATTTTTCCTATATCACATGGAATTAATCACCAATGGTCATCAATTCAAAACAGACATGATGCTTCTTTGTTCTTAAGATTAGGAGACATCAGCTTCTTAAGGCAACTTCAAAGACGCTTACATTTAAATTCATACAATCAGCTATACCTTACAAAGATTAAAAAAACACACACACACTGATACATTCAGTAAATTTAGTATGGTCTATTAGAACCCGGAAATTTGTGCACATTTCCGGGATTGCACTTGGTCTCCGTCAGCTCACACACATTTGAGGACGAGCTTCTTGGTGAGGGTGTATTTAGGCTCAGGCATTTGTTTGTATGTTAAATATTCTCCTTTGCTGACCTCCCTGTTCACACGTGTCAGGACAGTGAGAATATCATCATCCCGCTCCGAGCTGCACAGAAAACATTGGAAACATATTACAAATTATAAATCTTGCTCAAATTTTAATACAACAACATCATGGCCTCTGACATATCACATCAACAGCATAAAAAAAACAGCAAAACCACATCTACAGTATTAATTGTTTTTGCCTTTCTTGGACAGGTCAGCTGAAGATAGAAAGGAGAGAGGGAGAGAGAGGGGGGATCAGTCTAAGCTCTATTCTAATAATTGTACGTTATTTATTGATATTTTTTATTATAAGTGCTCATCCTTCACAACAGATACTGTGGTTGGTCAAAGCTTTGTCTAAACTGTGACTGGTGGACAAACAGCTCAACAAGCATCTTCTTAAACTCGTGTCTCTCACCTTTCAGCTGACTTCAGAAGCTCCCGGCACAGCTGCTGGATGTAGATGGAGCCTGTGGAAGTGTTTCGAAACGACCTGCACTCTGGCACAGTGGCCATCCCCAGCAGGAAGTCAGCATCATGAGGCACCGTCTCGCCATGTACAGGACCTGCGTCTTCCTCCAGGCGGCTCTCTCTGTCCCCCTCCTCCTGTCTTGGCCTTGGGGGACATGGCACAGATCCTCTCTGGTAGAGGTTTCCCTGACATGCTTGGATGAAGAACAGTTTGGGCTTCCCTGCCAAGGTGGGAGCTTGCCCGCTTGTAAAGGGCTTTGTCACATCTTGCAAGAACACCTTCTGCCCATCAGTCCCAAAGACACACCCCTTGTCTCCGTGGGAAAGCAGGCACACCACCTGAAATCAGAGATCAGAAGCAGTTAAACATGAGATGAACTTATATGCAAGCAATCACAGTAAATCACAAAAACTTGTAGATTTGGATCTACAAGTTTAGTTAGATAGACAGACATCGTTTTTGAGAAGTTTTCTCATTCTTTTCTGGAGAGTGGTATAGGATGTTTTCATTTAACTCTAATCAAGAAAGCAAATAGGGTATTAAGATGTCAACTTTTTCTTTTAAGGAGTAAAAAAAAAGGTATATGCAGTAGTAACTGTTGTTAGAGCTCTGAAAGTGTGTGGTACTGCTCACCAAGGCATCATCATTCAAAAAATTCCTTTGGCCCAGCTCTTCTAGCTCCCTTTGCATGCATTCAGCACTCAAGTTGTGGTGCACTACCACAGTGAAGCCAAGCGTTGTGAACACTTGGAGCAAAGACTCTGTGTCACATAAAAGAGAGACAAACTGAAGCACACTGGTAGATTTTATTTTACATCATATCATATGAGATAAGTATCAACTCTGAGCATCCGGAACCCTGATTGGTGCTCGCTAACTAATAAGTATGCAGTTACATAAACAAATCAGATCACATGGTTAAATACAAGCGTACATACTCTCATCCTGCTGAGACCCTCTTCTATAGTTCAGCGATGTTTCCGAGAAGTTCTCATTGTTGAAAATCACACACATACCGTGAGGGATATGAGCCAGGACGTAGTAGTCTTTCTAAAAGGTACATGCACATCCACATAGATAAATCATAAACATGATTATGTTAATGATAATGTTCTGATAAATTCATGAATAGACGAATGGATGAGAAGCATGTGTGTTTGTGTGAATGGTTACCGGATCAAAAAGAGGCAAGGACTTTGGCAAGGAGTTTGGTTCTGCATCGGAGTAAACATTAGGCCTGAAATCTGAAGAACAAAGACAGCAGAAACTTACATCCCTTGGATGTGTGTGATAAAGAATAAAGAGTAATAGCATGAGAGTGGATATCTGACATTGAGGAAGGGATGTGAGGTTCTTAAACTGTTACCTAGGCTTTAGGGGTAATTATTCAATAGCTGTGTGCTCAAATAAATATGGAGTCAGTGAGTAATACTGGGAAATAGAGTGACTTACCGTTGTACATCTCAGATATGGACAGAACAGGTTGTGTTGGCTGAGGGGGGAAGAAAACAGAGTCTTAGTCCTCAGTAAAGTGGCTCATTATAAGAACTGTACACAAACACACATCTAACACACACACACACACACACCTGGTAATCCATGCTGACACGAGATAGTAATGTAGTTTGAGGTCGCCGGGTTCCCCCTGAAAGAGAACATTGATATCATCGATGAATTTCATAGTAATACACCATACACATATGTTTGTATGTGCTTGTATGTATTACTGTGTGTGTGTGTGTGTGTGTGTGTGTGTGTGTCTCATACTCTGTTTGTAGCGCTGTACAGTCAGTGCCTGCTGTTGATCCAGCTGCAGCAGTGTTTCATGCAGCTCATCAAGGTTTGTCTCTGACAGTAAACCCGCCTTTTCCATCTCAACAAACACATCCAGGGCTGTCTGTAATCAACAGAGAAGACTTGTTTGTCTCCGTGTGTGGAGGCTTTGCAGCCGCATTGAAGGTGTGGACAACACTTCTGTTGCACTAATAAAGGTCTGGAAGGGTTATCAATACAATGTGCCAAAAGTTGGGTGCACATTCCTATTGAAGCCCAGTATGCATGTTAAATGAATGTACACTATTCTATTTTAATTTGAAACATTAAAGTTGTATGTACAGTATGTACAACCCAGTTCCTTGGATAATGAAACTTACTGAAAGCATTCAATTATTTACCAAACAAAACATGGTTTAGTTTGTTTGATACATGTCAATTTTCAAAATATGAAGGAGATACATACCAAGCTGCAGGTTAATGTAGCAGTTGGGAAAAGATAAAGTAGTAGTAGTAAATGGTGAAATCCTATTGGTATGCTAATCACAGTGAAGAGAGTTTAATTATTAACTTATAACTTTTAACTAATGTTGTATATCATACTTTTACTAAAGTAAAAGAGTGAAGTCTACATGTCATCATTTCTTTTATAACTGTGGGTGTGGCAAAGTAAGTGAGTATTCTTACATTGCATGTCTCAATTTGTCTTTTGCCCAGCTTGCTACTCAACAGAAACTTCATCTTGCCGAGGTTTTCCTCGGTCATGTCCTCATGTATTTGGTACAGCATCACCCTGACAGAAAGAGCAGGAGAGTGAAAAGGAGAAAGACAGACAAAGAAAAAAACAGGAAAATGACTAAAACTTTGGGAATAAAACTGATTGGATTGCAATCTTGCCACACTGTTTTCTCTTGCAGTTGCAGTACATTTCTCTCTGCTTTCACCTGTAATCTGACAGGATGGGATTTGCGTCGGTTTCTTCTGGCCGCCTGCTGTCTGTCTCCAGGAGGCTGAGGAGATCAGCTCTTTTGATAGTTCGGAGCAGCTGATAAAGTAAGGAAGGGTTGTCTAACAGACCTTTTTCTTCTAGTTTCACAAAGAGGGTTTTTGCATCCTTGACCTGTATGAGAACAACCAAGAAATACACCATCAAACCTTTGACAAGACAAACCTTGAAAGGAAGCAAGATGCAGAGAATGTTAACAATGGGAGAGAAATACTGTCTGTAAAACACATATCCATCATAGACTCTGACTACGTTTTGCCATCCAAAAAAGTATTTTGAGTTAAAAGAAAAATATGAAAAAATATGAAATAATGATCCCTAAGGCCTATTTCAACAGCAGCACTTTGATATGTGTAAGTTTGATAAGTAAGTAAGTGTTTTTTTTCTACCTTTGCCTTTTGCCAATTCCCCCTGGTTTCCTTTAGATAGTGTCTCAGTTCCTATAGTTTTTGGAGCACTTTGTGAATTGAATTGATGTAGATGTTCACATAGACCAGTCTAACCCAGCAGCTAAGCCACCCTTTTTTGAGACAGGATAGCAGCTGAATGTTGTATGCTTGTAGCTACGTGGAGAGTGATAAGGAGAATGTTTATCAAGCTTGGCCCAGCACTCCAGATGGATACTAATATTATCAGGGGGTGAATTTTAAGATAACAGAGCACACAAGGCTCAAACTCAGAAAGTTCAAGTTCTTTTTCTTTTTTCTTTTTTCCCCTTAATCCAAGAACTTTTAAGTACTTTCCAGGCCCGTGGCAACCGTGGCTTTGGTAAAGGATACTTATTCTCATTGTTTGAGTAAAGGCCAAACAAAAGCAGATGAGCCATGTAGTACTCACCCCCTCCAGGCGTTTCCTTTGGATAAGACCCTGACACAAGAAGCAGAGAGCTTCCACCTCAGAGGACACCAGCTCCTCATCAATGTGGGCCAACATCAGTCTGTCCATCACAGTACCAATCCCACCAGCACAGGCCTGGTGCTCGGCTATCAGGTGATATCAGAGGCACAAACAAGAGAGACAAAGAGAAGGTCAAAAGATTGTATCGTGTTACTGCCTCTTTCCTTGTTTTTCTTCTTGATTTTAACTTTTACACTTATGTTAGGTTTTTTGCCACTTTGTAACATTTCCTGTGCCATATACATAAGACTTCATATTATTACATCATAGTTGCCCCACAGTACGGATCACAGTCGGTGTTAATATTCAATAACACGCTGCGGTGGCCACACAGAAAAGTCCATCAGACAGACAACGAAAAAGGTTTGGACTCAAAACCGAGTGGCACCATTAAAGTAATATCATGTCAGTTTTTATGAGTTAGTTATACATTACTGCCAACAGGTTACATTTTGGGTTTCTCCATAGACTTTACATAACGTAGGTTACAGCAGGCACAGGCTGAACTAAGTTGCTTTCGTGTAGAAACTGCGTCAACTTACGATGTTGAAACTTACCGAGTTCAACTTACGTCCAACAAGCGAAAATATCTAATAAACTTCAGTAAAACCTCCTTTCTGAGAGCTAACAATTAGGTTTTAGTAGCAGCGGTTGTTATTTTGCCGACACTCCTTCACGTAAGTTAGTTCCCGCTGCTTTCACTTTCAGAGGAAACCAGAGAGACTTTTTAGGGTTGTTGCTTCCGCTTACAACCTTCAAAATAAAAGCCATGAGCGTAAACAACGAAGACGCAGAGGGATTTGGAATATTATTGCCGAGATATTCATAACAGCCTATGTTCTTACATCTCCAAATGTACCTATTTAGAGAAGGCTGTAACACGTCTATCTTTTATCTTTTCTATAACCTTTTTATTATTTATATTTTATTTTGAAGACAGACTCGCTTCTTCTTAGTTTGGGTGACTTTACCTTAAATACTCACTGCCCAGACATCTGCCTCGCCCAGACAGGACTGATAGGGTAACACAACGAAGCTACAACCACAGCTTGAAACAAACCACTTTATTCATATACTAATCATCTGTCACTCACACAAACAGAACAAGCCAAATATAAATTAAAATTTTAATCTCCAGTTAAACTGATAAACAACAACAGAAAGTTATTTAAAAAAAAAGGCTGATTTAAGCACGGCCCCTCCCCCCGGTGTGCTTTCAGAGTGAGGGGGCTTTCAGGCTTGGCTCTGGAGGACGGCGGGAGGCAAAAGGGAGAAAGTACTCTCTGGCAAACGAGAAGATATCATCTGGTTTCCTTAGCAGCAAGAACTGTAAGAAGTCAGATATAAGGGCACGGATCTCTGGATGCTGTCTCAGGTAGGAGGCATGGTCCCCCTTCAGCTCCTCCTGTCCCACAGAGACATAAACACACATTCATATTTATATCTGTTCAAAGGATTTATGCGGAAGGTGATATCTGTATAAGGAAACAGTATTACTCAGGTATTTCAGGTAAATGATTCAAATATTAGGCCACTGTCTTTATCACATGAGAACACTGTTGGTTACCTTTCTGTCCAAGAACTTGGAGCGCATCTGCATGTCTTCTTCCCAAACCAGGGGGGTCTTCTCAAAACCTAACATGCACAAACACACACACACACACACACACACACACACACTGTGTGAAAACAACATAACTGACTTTTTTTAGACAAACAGTTTTATGTGTGTGGGTACGGTTACCTTTTTCCAGGTGTGATGGCAGCTGCAGAAGTGTCATGGTGACCGGTGATCCTACCTGCATTCTGGTGGCCAAGTGCCTGATCAGAGAACATAAACTGATCAAAAAGTCTATTTATCACACAATATTAACATTTTATTCAAAAGAGTTATGTAGTTATATAATAGTTATGGATCTTAACGTAGTCTAAAGTTATTATTTTCATCATATAAACTGATTTAGGAACAGTTTTTGGACCTTACTTAAGAATGTTGTGGCAAAAAAAAAGCAATTCTTATTTTCAGGTGATGATACACTAATGAAAACATACCTATGAATATTATGTTCCATTTCTGCTAATATATCCTCCTAAATGTTACACACTGGACCTTTAAGGAGCTGTAAAAGTGTCAAATCAACAATCACACCCTGTGACAGTGTGAGACAGTGAGACTGTCCAGTAAGTGCAATACCCTGAAGAGGTGTAGTCATTGAGCTTACCCATCAGCCAGGAAGTAGCACTGCCAGGTAGTGGGACTGTCCTCCACAGAGTGAACAGTCCTCTCCACTCCAAACACCTCCACTGTCTCAGCCCCAACCTCCAGCTGCTTTAGACCCAGCTCGCTCTGACCACACGGAAACACACAATCAGAGCTCAACAACCCCACACAGAATCAGCGTCAGAGGTCATTCTGGCATACATACTTACAAAAGTGGTGTGGATAATGTGTAATCCCTGGTCGAGGGAGATGAAAGTCATGTGTTGTGGCACCTCCTTCTTAAGAGCGATCAGGCGCATCAGCAGCAGGTTGGAACCCTCAGTTACCAGCCCTCTTAGGACAGACATGGGATGGGAAACGCTCTCCTTCGTCACGTCCTGTGCACACACACAAGAGGATCACACCTTACAGTAATTTCACAAGACAAGAAAAGGTTTGTTGGTGATCTCCAAGCAAGAATTGAATGAATGGTGGTGTATCACATTTATATAAAAACTATTGTTTCTTCTCTCACCTCTCCTGTAATGGTAACTCTATCGATCACCATCTGCCCGTCACGCTGCACCATGTGACACCTCTTGTCCAAACTGTGGCCCTCGAGCTGAAAAGGGATTCAAATGTGTTATAGGGAATGCACAATACTCACTGAGCGCAACAGCTGATCCTTGTGCCTTGAGGAGGAAAATTTTACAGTAACTTGCTAACCAAATGAGAGGTGGCAGCCGCCAAACCCCCTCGCTGGTTGTGTCTTTTCACTTTCTCAAACTGCTAGAATTCATATCTGTCTCCTGTCCCCTTGACCAATCCCCACCCACGCCCTTCTTCCCTTTGCTATGTTCGACTGCGTCTCCAATTCCCTCCTTGATGCGAAACCCCACTACCTACCTTTCCTGTCCTCTTGTTCACCATCACCTTCGTGTCGCGACCCACTACCTTTTCCTTTGTTTTTCACTTCCTCCTGCGCACTGCCAATGATATCCATGTAACCATCCTGGTAACCTGAATCTCTCTACATACGACCATCTGGTTATTGCCATCGCTATATCAAAGTAGTGTGTTTCACTTGCCTCTGGGTACTCCGCTTACCTTACTCCACGACCCTCTCTGTGGTACTGGATAAAGCTTTCACCAAGGATGCCCGGCATTCCTGTTCAGTAAACGACACCCCCACAGCAGACACTGCTTGGCACCTGGTAGTTGCGCGATCTTTTCGTTCATACAGCCCTCTAAAACTGACAGTAACTACGGCCAAAGCTTGCAATGACTCACCCTGACACGTACCCACTGGTAAATCTCCTCCAGCCACCCCTCCCAGCTCCGTTGGTGGGAGGTACGGCTTAACATGGCACAAAGGACCATAAAATACTGAAACATCTGTGAAAGGATAAAACCTCAACCGTCTTTGTAGCCCCTGGCTCACCTCGTCATGTTGTTCCACACGGGGAGCATCATGCTCCCTGCTCTCGGCATCGGCGCACACGGGCGCTGGCTTGGCAAACACTCACGTCACACTGAACCCTCCCAGGTCGTCGGCTCCCTCGTGACACAGCACCAGAGACAGTCGTGGAAACACACACTTTCTGCCAGCGGCGCAGCTCTCGAGACGAGAGCTGGGCGCGGCAGACACCTAGCTCACACAATGGACCATCTGCTTCCTATAAAGCTGCGTTCTTTCTTTCAAAATGCTCACATGAAGTAAACACTCTCGCTTCCTTTGTCATTACCTTGACTGTGTGTGCTGTGCTGCGTGTGTAGGCTTGTGTCGTGCAGTGTGTGGTGCCCGTGTGTGTGGTGTATGTGGTGTGAGCTGTGTGTGTGAGGGTGTGCTGGTGTGTGCTGTGGTGTGTGTGCCTGTGAGTGTGAGTGTGGTGTGTGTTGAGCTGTGTCGTGTGTGTGTGAGTTGTGCTTGTGCGTGTGCTCGCTGTGCTGTTCCGAGTGTGAGTGTGTCCGTGTGCTGCCTGTGTCGTGTGTGTGTGAGTGGTGGTGTGTGTGTGACTGTTGTGTGTGTGTGATGTGTGTGAGTGGTGTGCTTGTGATGTGGTGTGTTGTGCTGTGCTCGATGTGTGTGTGTTGTGTGTGTGTGAGATGTGGTGGTCGTGTTGTGTGTGTGCGGAGTTGTGTGTGGTGTGAGTGTGTGCTCGTGTGGTGTGAAGTGGTGTGTGTGTGAGTGTGCTGTGTGTGTGTGGTGTGATTGTGTGTGTTGAGGTGCTGTGTGGTGTGTGTGCTGCTGTGTGTGACGTGTCCGCCTGTGTGAGCTCCTGGTGTGTGCTGTGTGCCTGTCGTGGCAACTCAAGCATGTGCCAAAACCCAGGTGGTGCCAACTCTCCAGAAAACACACTGACCAACTCACCGGACGACTGCACATGAATGTGAACCGCTTCCTTCCAGCAGCTTTCAGCTCTTCTCCGTGTCCCGCTCCATTTCCCAGTATCCCCTGTAAGGCACCGGCAGCGAGTCTCGTCTTCCAGCCGGGAGGCTAATTCGTTGAACCGCTGCTGTTCTATTTAACGCAGATACTCCCCCGGTAGTGAAATACGCCTTCCGCTTCGGCGTGTCAGCAGCTTCTATGAGAACAGCACACTTCCTGTTGTGCCAAGAGGTGTGCTTGATATGATCTTGTTCTTGGGGCAAGGCAGTCTTTTGCTGTAACTTCCTACCTCCGCAGCCTAAAATTTTCCGACACGGGAAAAAGACGTTGTACCATGCAAACGACGCTGCACGTACCGTAACGGTGGTT